AAGGTACACAAAAAAAATGTTTGTTTCTATTATTAGAAAATGATGCAGCTCTAAGATTACCCTCAGATATCTACTTAGATTTTCTTCCAAAAGCTGACATCTGCAGTATGCCATTACCACAATTCACTTTACAAAAGAAATGGCATAACACACAGTTAGCAAGTGTGATTTTTCAGAGTTCCCATCGTGAAGCTTACTCACTATTGCTATTGCTGACTGACCAGAGATTGAAAAAGTATTTATTCCTTTATTCTCCATGTGAATTCTATTTTATTTTTGTTCTAAAAAAGTACTTTATTGATATGCTGGAGAATGTTGGCTGGCTTTTTTTTCTTCCTTTTTTATCCTTTATTATACTAACTGTCAAAATGTTATTTATACAAGGGAATTTATATAAAGAAAATTAATACCAGAAACTAAAAAAGTAAAAATAGCCCCTCTCACCCCCAAATTATAGATTTCTTTTTAGAGATCTAGGATAATAGCAAATATGTTAAATCAATTAACATTATGATGGGCTTACAAACTGAATCAACTGATCCTAGAGTGTATCTTCCTGTTCACCGTAATCTGTCAGAAATCCACTTCATGCTCTCTGGCACAATCCAAGTGCCATAAATGCGGAAGACCAGATTCACTTCAAAAGCACAATCTCAATCGGAACTACAATACCAGCATAGATCCACTATTCAGCTGTCCCTCCCCTTCTGCTCTTTGTATGCTTAGCAAGCTCATAACAGAGACTTGAGCTTGGGAAAGGTACCTTACACACAAGCACAGCTGTAACTATTCTGAGTAAAAGGACTGCAGTAGTCTCAAAGGCTTGCTTCAAATTAAATCCCAATTTTATTTATTTATTCATTTTTATTATTTAGCAACTTCAAAGCTGTGGGGTCTATTTCCAGTTTTATTTCCAATATGCTATTGTCTAATTCTCACTTATTTTCCTTTTCAAGGGATCTATTTATATTTACTTTTGTCAAGAGCCCAAATACAGATGGAGTTGTAATGCATTTTGAAGGTCATCAATGTCGTAGAAGAACCACATACTGACAGTGGAAAAACAGGCTCTTTGAAAGATATTTTCTTAATTCTCAAGTTTTTAATGGATTTACTGCATCATAAAACATCTCCATGCTTTGGAGGAATGGTCTAACATTGCAATTTGAACTCTTCTAAGGAAGGAATGATTACAGTACAAAATATCTTAATCACTGCAGCATTACATTCATTTTTATTAGCCAAAATCTAGATTATATGTATGCAGCTTGGGAATGATGAGGATACAAGTTTTGTTGATAGCTCCAGCAACAGCAGGTCACATTTTAATACTTTAATGGGCAACTCCCATATAATGTTTCCTAACCTCATATGCTTCTTTGTAAACTTTATGCTGACCTTCAAAAGTAAAGATAGATCGATACAGTTTTATAAAAGACTTTAAGACTGTATGAAACTCTAAGTCAATACTGTATTTTTATCACGTTTGTAATGTAATGCAATTCTGTACAACATCAACTAACCCTGAAAATACCAGTGAAGGCTAGAAATTTTGTTTAGAGACATTAATTCAGCCAAGCACTGGCCAAAACCAAAATCACCAATTTCCAAAAACGTTCATCGGTCCAAAGACATCCTAGTGACCTTATAAGATCAAAACTTCCAAAGCCCACAAACCAAAGAATTAAGTGAATGCAAACTTAACTTGACCAAAGGAGAACACTGAAATTCAGGAATCATGGATCTTTTGATCCTGTTTGTGCATGACCTCACAATTTACATCAGAGGAAGAGATGGAGCACAAATTGCCCATAGGAAAGTCTCCCACAAAACATTTGTATTACTGGTGTGACAAGGATGAGATACTATGTGTTGATGACATTCTTATTTTTCTAAAGGAAAATTCTCCCCCATTTCCTAATCTACCTGTCAGGCAAAACAAAACAACAAAAAAACATTTACAGAGATACAGTTACTAGTAATCTGAACAAATTACCTCTCAAATATGTTCAGTTCATACACAGGTCAAATAGCATGGAAGAATATAAAACCACAATAGTAATAGAAATCACTGTTCTGAGGACCCTTCATACAGACGTTGTTAAGTGTAATGATTATTTATTTATTATTACTGAGATGCAAACATCTAAAAACTTACAAGCAAGAATGACTAACTGTAGCAAACTAAGCGGCATTCTGAGTGTTTGCTTTAATGTTTTACCCTAGCCTAACTTTGGAAGAATTTTCACATGAGCAACAGGTACCTTAATTATATTATATTAAGTATCATATTGTATTATATTATTTACAGAGTATTATATTGTTTACAGAACAAATTTACTACAAATAGTGTTTTCTCTGTTCTTGTATCACAGGCAATTTTCAGTTCTGAGGAGCTCATTGTACATTTTCTTTCAAATGTACACATATATGCACATAAATGAACTTTAATATATGCACGTGACTTAAGTATATAACAGTGAAGCAGAGAAAATGAGAAATAGGAAGGTTAGATGATTTGCTTTACCATGAAAGGAAAATTAAAAAGAAATGTTGTGTAAGTAGATGGCATTAGCAATTCTATTTATTTCTAGGAAAGAAAAACAAAACAAAATAAAACAAAACAAAACAAAAACTCATCATTTCAGGTGCAAGCACAAAAATTAAGACCTTTGGATAAGAACATCTATATGACCTTTAAGGTCAGTAAGCTAACTACTGCACAATTGGGTAAAGTCACATCACCTCCTGTAAGGAATGGTCTCTCCATCTTTACAGTAGATTCATTTTCCTTGGGCCCAGATTCCAAGCATTTCAGTTCTGAGTTTTTTCCAACATAGGCTTTAGCACAGGGCGTCTGATACAGAAACGGGGTAGCCTGGTTGACACATCTTTAATCAGAACTATTTTTCTCTGGCAGACAAGGCATTCATCTTCCCAGCTGTGAACTGCTCACCACCTTGTTTGTAATTAACACATATATAAACTGTGCAACTTAGAGGTATAATACTCTGCTTCAAGGGCAAAACTACTTTATTGCCCTCAGCATGAGAAATCCGTACACATGAAATGTGTCCCTTGTAAGTGAAATCCCCACACCCCCTCTCTCTAAAGAAAAAAGTATTTCTTCTGTTCAAATAAAACTGCAAAGGCAATCTCCAAACAAGCATTCAGTTGGATCAATAGCCAGAAATTGAATAGAACAATGTCTCATGCTGCTTTATAGAATTTTCAAAAGATTTGAACCACACAAACCCAATTTTTCAAGTTCCACCACTGGGATTTATAGTCTTGTTTTCTGTCTCTAGGAGAAAAACAACAAAGAACATATTCAGAGACTAAAAATAAAGAAATACTATATGGTCAAATAATATCAGGGGTCTAACTTAAACCCAGAAAAGCAAGGGTGTTCAAAGTTAGTCTCGGATTTTTAGGTATAATATAGGGATCTTCAGAGACGAAGAGATTTCATATGCCTAGATATAGTCCACACTTAATAAGATCTGACAACATATCTTTCAAAATGAAAAATTACAGGGGCATACAAATGAAAATAGTCTTTCCATGAATTTTTAGAGGAATACGATTAATTTTTCACTTGAATATCAAGTTATTATAATCTTTCTTGATAGGTGTGGTATCAATTACTTAAATTTCTCCAGCACAAGAACAGAAAACAGATATATTGAATATTAAATCCTGGCCTGGAAGATCCTGGTATCTTACTTCTGACTTTACCATTTCTGGAGAACAGTAAACTTGCCCCATTCAATGGAAAGAAGCATCAGGAAGAAAAAGACATTCGACAGTTAACACACCGCCACAGCCACACAGCCGCACACAGAAGAAGGAATACACCTTTTGAGTGTCTTCTTATTTGGTGGAAAGTAACTTCAGGATTGATTTTTTTTTTTTTCTAATTTGATTTGCTTTGGCCATATTTGATTTGGCCATGATTTGATTTGATAGCCATATAATCTGGGAAGAGTTATTCAATTTCTAAAATGAGATGACGACAGAAGTTGAAAGGTTTCATACCTACCCAGGAGTCCACAGTTCCTCCCAGGTCTGATTCAGTTTTGGTGTAATCTGTCTGGTCGTGCAAAGCATCATGCCGTTTTCCATCGCAAACCCAGATGTTCCAGAGAATACATAATTCCCACAACATATCATTTCTGCTGAAAACAGATTTTCAGAAGAATAGGTAGAAATATGTAGCTAGCAGACTTGGATCCAACCACATATGGAACTTCTTATCTGTCTAGCATTTTGCTACAATTTTCTCTTTCACCTTCCTAAGTACTTGAAAGCCAATTTTGCCTCCAAAGAACTCCAACCCTAAATGTTGCTGGATCCAAAAAGGGTATAAAAAGTATAGCAATCTTCTTAAAGAAACTGATATAAAGTAGTTCTTTATCGTGTGTGCTAGCATTGTCTGCAATCCCAGAGAATGTGGCAGAGAAATTCTACCTCCTTTGAAAGAATGCAAAAAATATTTATTTATAACAGATTATAAGGAAAAAGGAAACAAAGATTTAACATTTTGAATAATCCAAGTCAAACAACGTAATTCAGAAAACAAAATTATCCACAGAATTACTCATCACCTAGATCAAATACGAGACCTCAGTTTCTAATACGAGTATATACACCAACCACTGATTGGAGACTTTGTTCTCATCAGGAATGATGTGGTTCAAACATTTATAAGTAAACTTCTGACTTCATTAAATAAATAAGTAGGACAATACATACTACTATGAAGAATAAAGAGAACAAGTTGAAAAGTGAAGTGATAGGCTGGGAATATTATATTTAACTACTTTAAATAAGAATGCAGTTTCCTCCTGTCTCTTACATACAAATTTTTCTTTTTTTTTTTTTTTTTTTTTTTTTGATGTATTTAAGTCCAAATACAAAAAGTCTACTTAAGTCTAAATACAAAAATTATTTTGTTGCCAGTAATATTTTTTGTTGTTGTTTTGTGTTTTTTTTTTTTCCATCTTAGCTTAAGTTATACTATATTTTTGGTAAATATTTCTGAACAAAGAAGCTCAGAAATAAAATCATTTTTTGGCATCTTTTTTTTTTTTTTTTTTTTTTTTTTTGTCTTTAGCATCTCAAGGAAGATCATCCTACTAACCATCTTCTTTAGTTCTATATTCTAAACTATAAACTATATTCTATAGTTTACTAACTATACTAACTATATACTAACTACTACTAACTATACTACTTTACTAACTATACTAACTAACTAACTATAAACTATATTCTATAGTTTATAAACTATATTCTATAGTTTATATAATTATAGTTTATAAACTATATTCTATAGTTTATAGAATAAACTATACATACATAGTTTATATGATATGAACTATAGATACATAGTTGCTGTTCTATAAATTGTTTCAGTACTCTTTATATTATCACTCTTTTGAGGCGGTCGGATGATTCTCAATCAAGACTTGAGAACACTCATTAATCATAGATCAGTAAAACTGTTTTATTTGTTCCAATTATTATTGGATTGTTTAACTTGAATAAACAGGAAATCAAAAAAGAAGTTCCAGAGTTCCTGCCATAGAAAAATCTTACTACACAGTCTGAAAAGTAATCAGTTTTTCTATTTTGAGATCAGGGGTGCATATCAGTTATTCTGAGCCTCATGCCAACTTTAGCAAATATTTCTCAAATTATTAGATTTCTTTAATTTATGCAAAAAAAAAAAGTTATACAGATGGTTATCAGTATTTTGTTCTCAATGTCTTTTTAAAATTAAATGCAGTATATGATCTAACTTTTGTTTTTTTGCAATATATACCAAAAATATTTGTAAGTTGAATGACAGATGGCTAGAACAGAATTGACTTCTGTAACTGGAGTTTTCCTCCCTTGGTACATATATATGAAAATATAGTACACTTATGAACGTCAAACTCTGCTTTCTTCCAGAAGTACAATACTTTTTTTTCTAGAAGTAAAATCAATACTATAAATCAATACCTTTGCAAAGGAAATGACTGCAACAGTAGGGCATCAATGTCTTCAAGTTGCAATGCAATGATATGAAAATATATCTAAACTTTCATTTCTGGATGAAAATACAATACACATTTTTTCTGCTATGTTTTTAGAGCTGTAAGGGCCTACATATGTAAGCCATGCTCCAGCACAACAAACATGAAAGATTTATGGTATAATCAACAAAATGATAATGAGGACAAATTCTCATTTCCACTTTCCTCAAAGTTTCTTATCTTTCATTCTGAAAATGTATTATATTATTTAATGTTTCATCTACTGATTTAGGACTGGAAATTTTTTATTTTTTTCACTCATTCATATATAAGATTCTTTGAACACCGTTCATAAGTAACACACTTCATGATGACAGTCTAAAACTTTTCAGTTACTTCTACTACAGGCTTATAGCCATTACAGCTGTGTAGAGCATTTTCTTATTAAGTCACTGGTGATACAACTAACATTTAATTGTGTTAATGTGTAACTCATCATGAGTACAGGGAACACTTATCTGGCTAAATCCTCATGAATACATATGAAAACAGTGATTACCTAAAAAGATATCTTGCAGGTATCTAATATAAATGTGTATGTATGTGTGCAAATTACTTGGAATAATATGAAATAGAGCTCGTTCCCTTGAGATACATAGTCGCTGTTCTATAAATTGTTTCAGTACTCTTTATATTACCACTCTTTTGAGGAGGTTGGATGATTCTCAATCAAGACTTGAGAACACTCATTACAGCTGCAGCTACCACCACCAGCAAAAATGTACCAAATATTTCTAAATGCCTCTAATAATACAGGAGTTTACTATGTGAAGCTGGAACTCCTTATTTTAACAAAGAAGGTAAGTAAACTTTCTAAAGACTCTACCTCTTACCTTCTAACATCTATAAAGCAACTTCCATAGAATAGCACTGTTTACTTACTAAAAAATTAACTCAAACTTGAAAAATATTAATTTTACAATAACTGTAGCTATATACATAAATGATGACAGATTATATAGTAGGAGTGGCTTTTGACTGGGAAATACAAGATCTGACTGAAAGGTTAGGCCCTACCAAAAATGGAGGTTAAAGAAATGAGACCCAAATTGAATTCAAGATGAACCAAAACCAAGAACCAGATATTACCAAGATTGTCCAATGTCACCTTGTGCTTTTTGATAGATGGGAGTGTGCAGTCCCATCAGTACTGATTCTGTGCATTAACCCTTGATTTCATGGTAAGTGATCAAGTACCTAAGCTCACAGATAACATAAACCAAACATGAGTTAAAGCACCTTTGCCAAAATGCACTCACCTAGAACCATTGTTGCCCTAAACAGATCAAAACTGTATTTAAACTATCAATGTTGATTTATTTTGCATATTTCAATACAAAACTGTCAGCAGCTTTAGTTGTACAAATACAGCAACTCTGGGTTAGAAAATATGACATATATAATATTTTTACTTTCACAGTAATGCTACAAGACATCTGAAGTTGGTAGAACTGCTGTTGAAATTACATATAAATTACCTCTTTCCAAGTGTTTGACAAGAGTATATCTTTAAAATGTTTCTGCAGCAAACCTTTCAACAACAATTTGAGGCACAATTACATCTGAATGAAATTCTATCACTATCTTAAGCAAGAAGAAGAAATCGGGCAGTAACTGACTTCCCTGGTCTCTCAATCAATGTCTTCTCTTAGGATACATGGGATAACACATTTATTTCCCTAGAATCTGTTTTCTTTGTGACAGCAACAAAAATATGTATGCAAAGGACTAGAAGTGCTTTTCAAGGTTATTGCAGAAATTACAGCTTGTCAGAAGATGGTGCTGTTAGGCCATTTATATATAAAAAAATTACTTGTAATTATAAAAATAAGTTAAAACTCTTCGTAAATCCCAAATTGTTGAGATTGGTTTTAAATCCCCTATTTTTAAAGACATACATTATTTTTCATTCTGTTAAGGCAGTGTTGACCTTGAGCTGCTTCACTAGGTGTGTACTGAAAAACTTCTAAAATCTGAACTGTTTCTTTTCTGAAATCTAGTCTCAATAACATGCAATCAAATTTTGCTTCTGACAAATTATGTAAAAGTAGCAGGTGCAGAAGTATTCTACTAAAATCTGGGATAATTTGCATATCTTCACACATTACATTTTTTTCCAATTATTAGATATATTAGGTATGCCTATTACTAATTGTATATTGGCAGGTCTATAGGATTGACATGTGTAGTTTTCTTGTCTAATCAAGCACTTAAAACATATTTTCATTTTCCTTCCTGAACTAAAGTATTATCTTTAATCTCAACCTCAAACTCCTATGGTCCAAATAAACTAGGTATTCATATGAACTGTTTGATATTGTTGATCGCAAGTGAATGTCAGTAAAGCTGAATTTAAGACCAAATCAGAGGAAAGATCTGTTTAAGAGACTCTTGCCTTGGAGAGTGGGAAGGAAGCTAGGAACAGAGCAAATTAAGTCTGATTCCATGGCTCACTGCAGCTTGAAGTTTATAGGCTAATCTGAACATTTAACTCACTTGTCCTTTTGGCTCAGCTGCTTGGAAAGTTGTTCAGTATTGGAAAAGAAATAAAATGGCAATGAAGATGACTTACAGAACTAAGCATTGTCTTCTTTCCTTCCTGTTAGAATAAGAGGCTTTGAAAATTATATTTAAGATGCTACAGAATACTGGCAAGCAGCAAGGTAGATTCACAATATCCTAAGATGATATATCTCTCAAAATTGTTCCTTTTCCATTTGTTTCTGGAATCTCTTACTGAGGAAAAAAAAAAAAAAGTTGGGGGGAGGGAATCAATCAGTATGAATCAGTATCCACTTGTATTGGGATTGGCCAGTAGGCCTTTCTGTGAACTTTTGGTGTCTTGTAACACTTTCCATCACATTACCAGCAAGGCCTTTAGTCTTGAAAATAGGTAAAGGGAAGCTGGAGAGTCCAAATCCAAAAAAACAGGCAGAGCAAGAAGATTATGAGAAATAACTGCATGTGGTGTCCACACAAAAACAAGAATTGTGACATGAAGAAGGAAGCACATTAGAACTTTGCCCAGCTGTTTTCCAAAAGCTTTATTCTCAGGATTACCTTATAGCTCTCTCTTTAGAAAAGCTCCTTTCTTGCTCTGTCCTCCCTCAAAAGAATGACATTTGCCGTAGTAATTTGTTTCACTTGTCCATTTTTATTCTAAACTATGTAAACAGAAGAAGTTCCTGGTCACTCATCTGCAGAGTGCCTTGGAAAATGGCACTGACCTTGGCTGCTCCTAAAGAAATGCTGTGAAAAGTACAATTAATAATATCTCCTCCAGGGGTTTTCTTCACTTGGAAACCACACCAAGTTAAACCACAACCTTGAGAAGTCACTTAAGGGTGTTTTCTAATTGAATGTAATTGTCAAATGAAACCAAATCCTATGAGAGATTTCAACATTAACACAGCAACTCCGACTGCTTAGTCACTCTGACAAAGTGTTGATCTTACTTCCCATGGCATTACAAGCCATGAAATATAACAGTATAACAGTTAGAACAGCAGGATATAATTTCTGCTTCTGTCATTTATTCATCACACATTATTGAGGAAAATAATGTGTATCTTCCTAACCTTCTTCACTTGTTTTAAGGGAAATAATAACTGTGACCTACCATGGAGGGGAACTGGAGGACATAATTCAAGCTTTAAAAAAATTACTGAGAAAGAGACATTAGAGAAGCTCAAATATTCATTATGAGAACTTGCAGCAAATACTTTTTTTTTTTTTTTTTTTTTTTCCCCCTGGAATTGCAGAATGCTAGAAAGCTAGAAATGTTGTTTTCTATAAATTTAGTTTATATACACACAAGACATTATCCGTATTCTTTTGCTGATGGACTTTTCTAATCAAGTTATGAACCTAATAGTTAAACCTTAGATTTTTTAATGGTGTCATCTGTATGCAGAAGAATATTAGAGGCCTGTCTTTTTGTATGACAACATCAAAAAGCACGTCAAAAAAAAATAAATCACATTTTGCACTTTCCAGTCTGCTTGTGGTGCAACCCATATTCTTGACCTACTGAAACCTAATGACAGTGTCGGGACTTAATACTCGAGCAATCACAGAATGGTTTGGTTTGGAATGGACCTTAAAGATCATCTAATTTCAACCCCCTGTCAGGGGCAGGGACACCTCCCACTAGACCAGGTTGTTCAAAGCCCCATCCAACCTGGCCTTGAACCCTTCCGGGGTCAGGGCATCCACAACTTCTCTGGGCATCCTCTTCCAGAGCTTCACCACCCCCATAGTGAAGAATTTCTTCTTTATATGTAATCTAAATCCTCCACCTTTCAATTTAAAGCCATTACCCCTTGTTCCATCACTACATGTCCTTGTAAAAAGTCCAACTCCAGCTTTCTTGTAGGTCTCCTTTAAGTACAGGAAGGCTTCTGTAAGGTCTCCCTGAAGCCTTCCCTTCTCCAGGCTTAACAACCCCTACTGTCTCAGCCTGTCCTCATAAGAGAGCTCCAGCCCTCTGATCACGTTCATGGCCCTCCTCTGCACTTGCTCCAATAGGTTCATGTCCTTCTGATGTTGGGGGCCCCAGAGCTGAACACAGCACTGCAGGTGGGGTCTCATGAGAGCAGAGCAGAGAGGGAGGATCACCTGCTGGCCAAAGACATTAAACAGTAACGGTGCCAATACCAACCCCTGATGAACACCACTTGTCGTTAGTCTCTGCTTGGACATCAAGCTGTTGACTGCAACTCTTTGATGCAACCATCCAGGCAATTCCTTATCCACTGAGTGGTCCATCCATTGAGTCCACATCTATCCAATTTAGAGACAAACATATCATGTGGGACAGTGACAAATGCTTTGCACATCTCCAGATAAATGATGTCAGTTCAATGACGTCTGTTGCTCTTCCCCTATCCACAAATGCTGTAACCCCATCATAAGAAGGCCACCAAATTTGTCAGGCTCAATTTGCCCTTTGTGAAGTTATGTTGACTGTCACCAGTCACCTCCTCATATTCCATGTTCTTTAGCATAGTTTCCATGAGGATCCACTCTATGATCTTGCTGGCAAAAAGGTGTGACTGGCATGTAGTTCCCTACGTCTTCCTTTTTTCCCTTTTTAAAAATGTGGGTTATGTTTCCCTTTTTCCAGTCAGCAGGAACTTCAGCAGACTGCCACAACTTATCAAATATGATGGATAGTGGCTAAGCAACTGTTATGGTTTAACCCGGCCGGCAGCTAAACACCACACATCCGTTCGCTCATCCACCCCCCTCCCTCTCTGGGATGGGGGAGAGAAACAGGTGAGAGAAGCCTGTAAGTTGAGATAAAGACAGTTTATTAAGATGGGAAAATAATAATAGCAATAATAATAACAAAATAATGATGATAATAGTACTACTACTAATAATATGTATGAAACAAGCGATGCACAATGCAATTGCTCACCACCCGCTGACCGATGCCCAGCCTAACACCAAGCAGTCCGGCCCTCCTCCCCCTAGCCAGCCACACCCATATATTGTTTAGCATGACATCAGATGGTATGGAATACCCCCTTTGGCCAGTTTGGGTCAACTGTTCTGTGTCTGACCCCTCCCAGCTCTTGCTGCACCCCCAGCCTGCCCATTGGCAGGACAGAGCGAGAAGCTGAAACATCCTTGGCTTGGTGTAAGCACTGCTCTGCAACAATTAAAACATCAGTATGTTAGCAGCGCTCTTCTCATCCTAAGCCAAAACAAAGCATTCTACCAGCTACTAGGAAGAAAATTAACTCTGTCCTAACCGAAACCAGATCAGCAACTACATCTGACAGTTCTCATAGGATGTGTGGATACATCATCAGGTCACGTGCAACTTCATGTTCCTTAGTCACAAACCCAATCTTCTCCTACAGTGGGCAGTTCTTTATTCTCCCCTGCCTTTTCCTTCTGCAACTTGGGTGGTGTGGCCACCCAATATCCCTTCTCCATAACCTAGGCCTTCTCCATATCCCAGGCAACCAGGTATTTAGGTTCCTTCCAAAGAGGGCACACATTTTCTCTAGCCTTCCTTTTATCACCAACATAACTATAGAAGCTTTTCTCGTTGCCCTTCACGTCCCCATCCAGATTTAGTTCTATCAGGGCCTTAGCTTTCCTAACCTGATCTCTGGCTGCTCAGACAACTTCTCTGTATTTCTCCCAGGCTACCTATTCTTGCTTCCACCCTCTTTGGCTTACTTTTTCTGTTTGAGTTTGTCCAGGAGCTCCCTGTTCACCCATGCGGGCCTCCTGGTGTTTCTGCCTGACTTTCTCTTGATGGATGCATCATTCCTGTATTTGAAGGAGGTGATCTTCTTCCTTCCAGGGTTTTATCCCATGGTATTCTACTAAGCTAATCCCAGAAGAGGCCAAAGTCTGCTCTCCTGAAGTCCAGGGTAGTAAACATGCTGTGCAACCTCCTCACAGCCCTAAGGATCTTGAACTCCACCATTTCATGCAGGTGATCTGTCAGACTGATAAGATGAACTCTCATATGAAAAAAGAAAAAAAAAGAAAAAAAAAAGTAGGGAGGGGAATAAAAAAATGATAACACACACAGCTTGTTATATTAACTTCAGCCAAATTAAAAAAAATGAAAGCAACCTAAGGCTAAAACCAGTGGCCCAGAGTGTAGGGAATTTAAGTAACTCAGAAGAAGCTGAGGCTCTCTGCACTTAATGAAAAAGTCACTGACCTTGAAGAGTGATCCAAGGGACCTAATTTAGAACTACTGGAAAAACAGAGAGGTTATGAGGCAAATGACCTATTCTTTCTGTAGTAGTACTTCTGAATGATGGCCTGGCTGCATGTAGCAATTTGCAACATGAAACACTTATTATTCCTCACCTCCTCCTCCTCCCCTCCGTCCCCCCAAAAAAAGGAAAGAAGAAGAGGAACGGAGAGAGGAAAGAGGCAAGAAAAAGTGAAATAATCCTTAAATCTATGACTGTACATCAAGTATGTTTATTTCATATGCTTCAAATATTTAATATGTTGTTGATAGCAGAGTAGAGAGTAAAAATACGTTAAGCATCTCAAATTTACATCTAGGATAAAACAAGTCATCCTCCCATCCCACAGACCAGAGGAGATCCATTTTGCAAGCACATCATGAATGTACTTACATCAACAGAAAGATCAACAGAGATTGACAGAGCTACATGTAATGTACAAGTAAAAATTCTACATGTTCTTTGTGGGGTTTATTATGTCTTTTTAAATTCAATATTGACAATCATTGTAATATGCCTTAATTAGTGAGAAAAAAAAACCACTTTGCTTTCACTTGTTGCTGCGAGTTCATTTATTTAGCTTAAAGCTCCTTTTGTTTAAACCCACATGATATAACAGGTTACATTTGTGTTAAGAAAATACAGTGCAGTAATTCAGACCTAATAGTCAGTAACATTATTTAGATACTCCATCTGGCATGAGTGAAGTTCAGAAAAATCCTGCTTGTATATAAATAAGCTTTCTTTTACTGTTTCCTCTCCTCTCCTCTTCTTCTATTTAGAAATACTGGGAAAACAGAGAATTGAGCTAAAACACATATGTAATAACAGAGAAAAAACACTTCAGCCAAGAATGACTTTTTCCATTGTGGGAGGACCCTCTAATGACCACTGACAGCAAGGCTGGAGGAGGATGGCTCTCTTTCCTCTTGCTGATTGTTTTTCATTATTATTACATATACATAGAACTGTGCTTTGAGGATGTCTTACTCCTAGGTAGATGGGGTTCATCATACTACTCAGTCATCCCATCCAGATGACCAGTTTAGGGCTGGGAAGCAGGAGGAGGCTTACACAACACCTCAAAAACAAAAAAAAACCTTTTCTATATACCTCTGAGATGGAGTATAAGTATCATATCTCATCAGCTGTAGGAAGAAAGACTGAAATGAAACTCACTACATATAGTTCATTGTAAGTCAAGCGGCAGTTGCAAATTTTCAGAGGTATCAGTGAACATGTGCTGGCCTTTCACTTAAATATGTCATCTTTGCTCTAATGTTTCATCTTAGATGCAGCTTAATGTTTTTGAGATCCATAATGTACTTTCAGTGCAAAAGAGAAGGCTAAGTTAATTTACCTAGATATTGCAGAGTACCTTTATGTTTGCCTCAAGGACAACGCATTTCATTCAGAACAATGAAACTTTTTTCTTGTTAAATTAAAACCAGTCTGTTAAAAATTGTTTAATCTCTTCTCCCACAAAATTCCTCCTGTTCAAAGAGCTCTTAGAGAAGCTCACACTCAAGCCTTTGTGTGGAAGAAGCAGTGCTTTAATACAAGAGGTCTAAAATCTGTTTTAAATACAATTACATGTTTTGAGAGTTATGGTACACTGCAATTAGGTCTTTTTATTTTTTCAATAAAGTTATTTCAGCAAGTTTCTTCATAACCTGGGCACAAGAAAGAAGTAGGCCTTTAGAAGAAAAGTAGTGGATAATCTGGTCATACCACCAGTCAAAGAACATAAGTCTTCTCAGGTGGGTGCAGGAGAAAGCCTGTGTCCCTCATTCTGAAGGGAGGGATTCAAGTTGTATAATCTCACAAACTGTATGCACATTTCTCAGCAACAAATTCGGGGGGGGGAGGGGGGGAGGAGGAGGAAGAGAGAGTCTCAGTGTGAACTCTCTCATCTAGTAATTAAACAGCTTAGGCTTTATGCTCAAAGTGTGTTGTAGAAAGAGTTTCTTCAGACAAGATTTAGTCTGGTTTGAATATATCTACTGTGTAAACACTACTTGCACTACTTGACCTTACCTGAAACACCACTGGTGCTGGTTTTGAACTTCATGACTACTTGAATCTTTTCATGAGTCAAAAAAAAAAAAAAAAAAAAAAAGGAAATTGAGCAGATGGGAGATTCACTTCAAAATGCACTGCTATGCAAGTCAAATTACCCATGCAGTTGCAGCCAAATTTTAGAAGACATACATGCATTCCAATCCATTAGACAACATTTGTGCTTAAAATGGCATAAACAAATAACCATACTTCACTCAACAGGATTATCCTTCTGTGAGGCTGAAGAACAATATGCTTAAAAGATCCCAGATTTTGTCTGGAATCAGTCATGTTTTATATAATAGCACAAAGGCAGACCACGTATGCCACAGTTTTGATGGTACATGGCCTACTATTTCTCTTCACAACATTTCTGTTTTACTTCTGATTGGACTGTCATGAAATACACATATGAAAGATTTTTTTGTCCCCTCTTCTGTTTTGAGATGTATGGGCTTTTAAAATAGGTGAAGTATGGTTTTACATTCTCACATCTTAGATCCCTCTCTGAAGTCAGTGAGGCATCTCAGCAGGATGGAAAGGTACCTCACATGTGCCCCAGCTGTTAGGTTAAGCAGAAAGATGTTTAGAGAATGAGGAAGCTCTGGTTCAAACATATGGTTAATTACTGCCAGGAAAGAGAAGTCAGGTCAGTTAACATCATACACTTGTTTTCACATTTGCTAAGGTAGGAGTCCCTGTACTACACAAAATTATTTCAGCTCAACCCAAGTCCAAATGCCATGACAAACCTGGTCAGATAAAGACAGTAAACCTCACCCCCCCCCCCCCTCCCCCCAATAAAAAAATGCATCTGTCTTTCCAAGTGGAATATAATACAGAATTCGACTTTGCTTGTCCTATTGTTCTATAATATTTCTTTCCATTACAAGAAAGTCACCTGTTTCTTGATAATACATAGTATGTTGAGTGCCAACACGTTCTACATTTTGTGAGCAAAAGTACCCAACAAATCTGATACACTTCTTGCTAACAGACTGCCAGAAAAATAATTCCCCCCCCCCCAAAATAATAAAAATCTATAGTACAAAAAAAAGCTGGATAGTATGACCTTCATACTTTTCTTGAGCAGTAGCTGACACCTATACTATTTACAAAATGATCTGATATAGCATAGGGAAAACAGTCCAAGTACCTTTTTTAGTAGGGATTTCTGTATATTCTCTGTATTTTTTTCTCCGTCTGGTCAATTCATTAACAAAAACACATGGACAACCATTTTCCAATAGTAGTCGGGACACTGGGGGGAATATGACAATTCTTATGAAAGATTAATTGAAGTTGAAACTATTAGCACGCATTTGAATTGACTTTTCTTATCTTAGACCACAGCTACTTGAGCACATTAATTACATAGTTGATCTTTATGAGTACAGGAGGGAAAACTGAGTTGTTCATTCTACAATATATACCTTGTACACTGTCCATTCAGGAATGTATCACCAAATGTTAATTATCATGAAAGGGAAAGCCAACTCTGCTCAAGAGTGGTCATATTTTCAAATGCAATACATTTTCTTCTTTAGTCAAGCAAGAGAAATTACTTCAGAAATATGAAGGCAACCAAATGCAAGACAGACAAAGATTAGCAAACATAGCAATTAATAATTGCATGACACTGCAACAACAATAAATCCTTTTATAAAATATAGAACCAGTTACAACACACAAATCATTAGTAGACTAGATTTATGAGGGAAACTGCATCTCGGTGGGAAAAAGCAAGCACATTGCAAAGCAACCTAGAAAGCAACTTCCCAAACGTTGTTCTTGAAAGAGTTTGGGAACACTGACTTTGAAAACAAACAAACAAACAAAAAAAACCACAATCACAAATCTTGGAAGTCAAAGCAGATAGCGGATGTCATCCCTTCAAATACCGGTTGTTTACATGTGACCAACTGTCTTGAACAGTCTTTCATGTTTCATGGCTATATATATCACAACTACATAAAATCATGATGCTCAGCTTGAGGAAAAAAAAACACGCTAAAGCACAGGTTTTGCAAAACCGGTTAAAAGTACAGAATATCAGCACAGAAATAGAAAAGAATAATACAGATGTATGAAAAGATGACAAAAATTTGTCTTTTAATCAAAATATCATTAATTATCCTGCTACTTGATTATCTTTGAAAATGTAGTATTAGTCAATATTGCTGAACTCACTCTTATAGTCTGCAAATTATCAATTATTCTTCCTTGTTGCCCCCAAAACGTGTTTAAAATAACAGAATCACAGAACTGAAGGGGTTGGAAGAGACCTCAAAAGATCATCGGGTCCAATCCCCATGCCAAAGCAGGTTCCTTAGAGCAGGCTGCCCAGGTAGGCGTCCAGACAGACCTTGAATATCTCTAGAGAAGGAGACTCCACAACCTCCCTATTCCAGTGCTTCCTATTCCAACCTTCCTGTTCCAGTGCTCCATCACCCTCACCATGAAGAAGTTCTTTCTCATGCGGAACTTCCTGTGCTCTATCTTGTGGCCATTACTCCTTGTCCTGTCCCTGCAAAGTTTAAGTGATTTCATAATTATCTTTTATCTTTGTTATAATTTATTACTTTTATATTATCTACAATTAGTTATAAAATATTATATTTACTGATATTTCCTTTTATTTAAATTCTATTAATATTAGAATTACAGATAGGTGGGAATCTAGATTCAAAGAACCTAACACAGCAACAGCTCTCTTCAGCTGTAGAATTTATAAATCTTAAGAGAAGAATTATTTTTAATACATTTTCCATCAAGAGCACTTGGGTTAGACACATAGAATACAGTGTAATAGCCAAGTTATTTATCCTCTAAAACATGTGAAAGAATGTTACATTTATCATCCCATCATTTATCAACCCTCATTTCCTTTGATGATGATGATGATAATAATGAAGCATCTTTTAAGATATAAAGTAGATTGGCTGGAGTAGGTTTACATGAGTCTGAATTTCATAGAAGAAATACTTTATATAGCTGAATATATCATTTTTATCCTAAACGCCATTTTTTTTCATCTGGAAGAGAATACAACGACTTTCTCTTTCAAACATCATGTTTCCAGAGGTTTCTTAGAGAAAAGACAGAATGGCTTAATTAAAGACTCTGGTCAGCAGCAAGTGATCTGACACTGCTAAGACCATCAGTGGTGTGACATTATTCTCACATGGCTTCCCACAGGCAATTCACGAATCTAAACATCCCAGTGATGGTAGCAAGCATCTATCATATATTTGGTCATTGTCTCTCTAGAGAAAAAATACTCTCAAAGCATTTGTCGGATAAATTATACAAAAATCAAACAAACTAGACATGAACAGCTGATTTTCAATTAGGTTCAAAACCAAGTTAATACATATCAACTGCTGAATGAAGACATTCATATGCCACCAAGAAATAACTTCTTGCCTCTCTTTTATTGCCCGCAAAGTAAACTCTTTTTTTGTGTGTACGATATTGCAGGAGGGAAATCTGGGCTGAACATTCAGGTCAATTCATCAAATTTCTTTTTGTAAGTTATGTATGGTGTAAAAAGAGAAATGTAGCAAGCCTCTAAAGCACACAGGCCAACTGATTATTTACCACAGAGAACAAATGTGTAGCATTCAGTGGTAGCAGCAGTAGCTTTCTACTGTGTAAGAGGAGTATTTGATCAGAAAAAATGAACAGAAACACAGAGATAGAAGAATGAAGATAAAAACCTTTCCAAGTTCATTCTTGATTAACTGAAGCTGTTAAATAAATTGTCAAAAGTAGGAGTACAGACAGGACGAGAGCCTTCTTGGTAACTAAATAATTACCAAAATTCTGCAGAATCTAGAAAAAAAAATAGACATGCCAGTCTGGATGCCTAATGTATTTTTATTTGATATCTTTTGTGTGCAGTGTAACTTGAGAAAAAAAAAAAAGTGCATAAATAATATTTTAGCAACTAATCTGAAAGTACTTGCCTTCACTGTAACTGGAGGGTGAAGTTCTACCGTAACAGCTATATGGACAGGTGAATACACAGAAAGTGAACTGAATACACAAGGAATAAATAGGTATTTTTCAATTTAGAATATTCCACTGTTATGTCTTTTTTTTTTTCTTTTTTTTTTAAAAAAAAAAGAGTGCAAAATATAATGGAATCAAATGTAATAACAACAATCTCCTGGAATTAACTGCTGAAAAAAAAAAAAAAAAAAAAAAAGACTACTGAGCTGAAATAACTTAGGATGCAATGGCCTTGGCAAAAGAGGTAAAAAGTATAGCAAGAAAACAAAGTTCTGAAAGTTAAATATTCACAGATGGATATCTAGAAGTCCATAAAATAATACAAACAAAAATACTTTGTAGAAACCCTTCCAAAACCAAAACCAAACCAACCAAAAAAATAAAATAAAATAATCAAACAGGTCAACATTCTCAGCACTTCCAAGTGTGGAGTGTGAAAATTTAGTCTGAGCATGTAGTCTTCATAATATGGGATAAGAACATCTGAAAAGGCAGAGTCCTGAGACCACGTACAAAAAATACCAGTAAGATAGCACAAGAATAATGCAAGGTATATTGATATTTTTCAAGGAGCTGCTAACAACTGCTTGAAAATAAGGAAAAGTGACAGAAAAATAAGAGATTGCATTTTTGTGATACTGTACTGTACATTTAATAACAAAAAACACAAATTGCCTAAGAACTCTATCTGAGGAACTCCTACATTCAAGTTAATTTAAGCTTTTCAATCCCACACAGAATTTCAGGAAAGGCCTGATTAAGGTCAGCTTAGGTTATTAAAGGTTAATTAATAACATATAGAAATTGTTCATATTAGAAGATAGATAACATCTTTGTTTAACTAATATGTTGGTTAAAAAGACTGAACTACAGAGATACATTGACAGAATTTTTTTCAACTTTTAAACATTGCAAGAATGAGAAATCTGTTAAAACAAGGTGACTTTTACTTTAAAGTGTAAATCAACACTTTTACTAGATATTTGAATCATCTCTACTAGTATTTGTCACTGTTTCTATCAAATCCTCTGACCAACCTCCTCCTGGTTCTACTGAATAATTGTTTAGGCTAAGTAAACAGGGCTGAAGTTAGATCATGGATATTTGGTATTGGATCATGGATATTTTTAGCTCATTCGAGCTCACATTCTGCCAAATCTTGTATTTTCCAATTGGAACACAAATGTCCAGTTCTCAAGGAATTCATGCTTTCTAAATCAGTTTCTGGATGCTAGCTTAAAAATAATTTTGGTTCCTTAATTACACTTCCCAATTTCCCCCATTACAGGCTTTCACATTGAGTAATTTATGATAAAGATTCCTGCCCAGCCTTACAGCAGCAGGATAATCAAGTCCAGGGATGCAAAATTTGATTTATTTATTTTTATTTTTTTTTACCACTGAGGTTTAAAATAAATAACAAGTGGCAGAACACTTTTTTTTTTTTTTTTTTTTTTTCTAAAAGATGCAAATATTATATTGTGTTGTTTACTATATATTTTGGCAGTAAACAAACAGGTCACCTGTTCATTTCCTTCAGCCTTCTTTTGTTTGGCTTACTTGCAGGTTCAGCTATACAAGTACTGGAAAACTTTACCATCCCCATTCTGAAACTAATTCCTTACTTCTGTCTGATGTAAGAGTTGCTAGTAGGTAATAATCAAATACCTGTCCAGGTTCATATATTAGATGTCTAAAGTAGAAATCACGGAGTATTTTTACTGTTAAAATATGTAAAAGACATGATTACTGTCCTGAGAAGTTTGAAGTAAAATTCAGATAAACAAGGAATATAGGAACAAGACAGGTAAAACTACTTCTATATTGAGAGAGTCTGTAGATGATTTAGCAAGAGAATTAGGTCTTAAACAGGGACTAAATATAGATTATAAAAACTATTACTATTTAAATATGGTCTTTAACTGCTTCTATTTGACAAAGGTGCTATTTCTTTTAATTCATTTTTGTATCCCTGTGTACTCCCAAATATATTTTTCCTGCCTTAGAAAAATATCTCACAATAAGGAGACCTTTCCACAGATCCTGCAAAGTTAATTGAAGCAAGGTAAGTACTAAAGTTAATTGAAGCAAAGAAAGCTCAGTACCAAGGTGAAGTCATCTTCACTTAGGGTTCATATTTAGTGGGCAGTCAACCTAACAACACTGCTAAAGGGAATAAAATGTGGTGTGTCAGATTTAATGATACAGAAACTAGAGAGATAGTATTAAAATGCAGTGCAGATACATAGTTTGAGAGAGTTTATGAGCCTTAGGTTTTACTACTCACATTCGCCTATATGATTGGATGCTGTATATTATAATGCAATATTCAGATGTTCAGAGCAAGGTTGTAACACTGCTGTATAAACCTTGTAATGCAAAAGGATTTAGTCTCCACACAGTAAGTCTTCATACACATAGTTTTATGCTTTTAAAGACTTTATGAAACATAACATTTCATAATGAATGAAACCTGAAGGAAAAAAAAACAACATCATGATTGCCTTTACAAACCGGTTTGGATTTGTTCTTTTAATTCTTTACATTAATCTGAAAATCTATACCTGGTATAGTCAACTCATTCTGTAGCCCCTTCCTACATCACAACTTTGTTGTTCTTCTGTTCCTTCTTTTAATCACATAGTTTCTTCTTCCTTCACTACTGCTAGTATGGTACACGGTCATTTTTTGGAGATACTACAGATTAAGCTTTACTGATAAGTTTTATTTCTATAGATCCCTACCTTTTTTTTTTTTTTTTTTTTTTTTCCCAAACCAAATCCCTGCACTTCTTTAGACTTAACATACTGCATTTAATTAAAGAATAATTAATGTGGACTGTTTTGAAATTGATGGCTTTTCGAAGTCTATTAAAAGCCCTTAATTTATTCTAGCGTTAATATCTTTAAATATTTGATTAAATAGTAAAGAAAGAAATGTCTCATATAGTGAAATGATAGACCGCAGATTACTAAAAGAATGCCAAATTTCATCTTCATTATATTACAGTATATAGGACTGTGCATTTTCTCTGTAACGAGTTAATATATTTGCAGCTATATTTTTTTTTGTATGTTGTAGATGAGTAAACATCACGGAGGACAGATTCATGTAAGAAATGAATAAATACACTACAGTATAAAAACTGTATTAACCACATCAGATTAATGAGCAAAATCTGAATAACAAACCACGAAAAATACAAACTGGTGGAGATTGGATTTTTAACAGTTTTAACTGTTCCTGATAGAGGAAAAAATACACAAGTCCTAAAATATTAAGCACTCAAGTACATGGATAGTAATAGGAGTTGTGTGAGTACTGAGGCACTGTACAGACCCCAGTAATCTCTGCACATGATCATTACAGCAATGGAAACTACTTTTTGAGGTAACAACAACCTCACTCTTACAGAACAACTTTTACTTTGGATAATATACAGGTTTGATTTAATATAGAGGTTTGAAAAGTGGAAAATGAGAAATTATTCTTCTATTTCTGAAATCACCTATTTTTCTGACTTTTCTTCAGGTGAATGACTATTGTAATATAATATACAAAACCTCTGATTTTCCAGAAAGGAAAAAAAAAGTTTTAAGACATCTACACGACGGTCAATATTCATTCCCAGGCTTGCATTTGACCTTCGAAATAATTAAACATCTTCTTTAATTATTAATCTACTCTGTAAAATTATTGGAAGGTATGTCTGTCCTGTGATTATGAATTATTTACTATGAATTTAGATTCTCTGAATGTTTAACATTGTTATTAATCTACAGTTTCATAAATTTTCTTCATGATTGATCAGAACTCATGTGCAACTCCAATATCCTGATTTATACTTCAGCTAAATCAAAAGTGAAAAAAACATGACCTAATTAATTAGTTGTTTTTCACAGATTATTAAAACATCAGTTTTCAAACTTCAGCGGAGAAACAGACCTGAGTAGCTGCTTACTAAAATCCAAATATGCAAGTGAGGCATTTTTCCTTCTTTTCATATATGCCCTACTTTTATGAAGATGCAGTAAACTTCAATATATTCAAAATACCCTCCCTTTACTTTCTACTCTCCTGTTTTGTCATCCATATATAAATCTCAGAGGAAAAATCAGTTGATGATCTGTATCTCCAAGCTAGCATTCAATTACTCTCTTCCCTCTAGATTACTTTTCAGAAGCTATGCACTGATAGGAGAACTCCTGCAGCGCATATCTGAAAAAGTCCTTCAAACACTGATCAAAACATACAGTTTACAGGTAGCTTCTCAGTCCCCCTAGTGTGATCCAAAACCATGATACAGGTGTATGCTTTTTACCCATAATGTCCATTCCTTACTATTATAGCACTTTTCTCCAGCTCTTAATATGATCAGTTTCAGTCCCTTCACAAGTAAAATGGTTTTACTTTATGGCAAAATATAGCATCCTGCTTTTAACTATTACTTTTCATGAGGAAGACTGACCTTATTAAAAAAATACTGAAGATTCTAAGGCTGCTGTAATGAAATAGCAGTAGTTACTCTGAAAGAATGGCAAAATTTATGTACTGAATTTCTGACATTTTTGTTTAGAAACCAGCTTCACTTGCCTGGTAGAAATATGTCTGAGACATCAAGGAACAGCAGGGAGAAACAAAGTAAATGACCCAGGCTAAACTGAGTACAAATAACATGAAGAAAATTGTATGAAAACATAGGAAACTACAGGGAAGGCTAATGCTGATTTAGCTATGTGTATGCTGTGCATATAGAATGTGGAATATGTATAGTAGGAAGTCACATCTACCTTCAGGATCCTGTGTGACTGATAACTCCTTAGCTCTCTGTCATGAAAGTCCGGTGATGTCCAAGCTTAGTTTGTGGCACTTTCAGACAGAAGCATTGCTGACCCAGCCTCCCCCACCAGCAGCATCTTCCTCAGATGGCATTCCCTGCAGGCAGCTCTGGAGGTACTGAATACAAATGCTGTGCTATGCCAGTGGGTGCAAGCCTAGAGCAAAGCTACAGCTACTTCAAAATACTGTCTAGCCTAAAAGTCACAGCAGGCAGGAGGCTAGGTTTTTCTTTCCATAGGTTCTTTTCTGACATTCACCAAAAGAAAAAGGAAACTGAAAAAAACAAATTGGCAGAAAGATGAAAGAATTATGGGTAATTAATTATGTATATAATACAGTCTAATGTTTTCTCATCATCTATAAGTTCTTAAAGCTAAATAATTATCATTTTATTTTTTCTCTTAAATTCTTATAGCAGTATGGTTTTGTCTCAAATCTGATGTGAGATCAGTTCTAAGGTGACTGGAGCCCAGCTCTGTTGCTGATGTTCTTCAGAATCCCCCTTGCTTAATAAAAGTTAAGTCCTTTGAGAAACTAAAGGGGAGATGCTGAGCCACTAACATATAGCAGGTTTATCTATCAGAAGAGAGGGAGACTTAAAAGAGCTCAAGATATTCAAATTACTCAGATTAGAGTGAAAACATTTGGTCTTCCACACTCTATGCTACGTTTTTCTCCATTGTAATAAACTTAATAAGAGGGAGGACAAAGAATGACAGAATCTTGCATGTTTCATTATCAAACTCAATATTTTACCTTAGCTACTGGCAAGTTCATTTTATGAAGAACAAGTCCTGCAACTATTATTTTTTCCTTTATAATCACTGAGGAAATTAAGGACACAGCATACTTCTAGATTAATGTGATCTGTAGTAAACAACACTAAAATCCTTACAGATTGTGGTTTAAATAGTGCTTTTCCAAGTATTTGACATTCCAAAGAGAAAGATTGGATTACCTATGAGCATCAGGGTGCATAATCTCTGGCCAGTGCTGTTTAGTATTTCATCTACTTTGGGGCTGACTTCACCAGATGCAGACAGAAGTACTTCTTCTTTTAACAAGCATTCCCAGGGAGCATCTGTCAGAACAGAAAAACAAGTGGGTTATTCACTAAGATTTATAGTTAGTAGACATGTAATACCCAATAGGAAATAATTACTTATGCAGTACAACAGCTGAGCATGGAATTTTAAAAGGGCCTGCATAATTGACCAATAGCAGTATCTGAAATAACACTGCTTAGGAAAAGATTAATTTAGTCTCATGCAACAGGGTACAATTCTGCCCTACAGGCATCAGGAAGGCCTGCTATCTTACATCCAGCATTGCAGATTGGACTTGGTAGTATTATGGGATATTTTTGTGTTTTCTCTGAAGCACATAATATTAGCCATTGCCAGAGGCAGAATATCAAACATTTATCTGCACCTATTTCCTTCATAATGAAGGACTAATTCAATTTTATAACAATAGGAGAGGCTAGCAATGAGTTGGAGATCAACTAGAGAACAGTGTACTGGAGGCTTCTGTGTGTTATTCTAACAAAAGCAGCAACCTGGCTTGGCCAGCTCCCTTAGTAGGATTAGAGTTTTGACATTTACCAGTGCAGTAGCCTTGGCAGACTTTGAATGATGCCTTCTATATTTATTTAAACATAAACTTCAAGTTCTGTGCTCCCTTTCAAAGGGCTAAGAAAGTAGACTTACTTAGTGACAGTGTCGGATATGAAAGTATTGCTTGCTATTTCCATAATACCCTTATGCTTTGAAACCACATTCTACTGTGATTTTTTTTTTATTTGAATCTCAACATATGACTAGTATAGATAAGCAAAGTTTGTTCCCTTATTTAGAGGTGATAACAGTGTCACACAACGCTGAAAGTTAAGCTACAAAATGCTTTGCCTCCAATTCTAATACAGGACTGCTGCAAGATTCCATTATCTGAAAATGATGAAACTTGACTAAGAGGACAAGTTTCAGCTACTGAAATAAATTAAGCTTCATCTAAGTCCCAGTGAATTTAAAAAATAAAATAAAATACACATTTGACACATTTTCTATTTGAAAATAGAAATGAAGTATTTAATGAATAAAAAATGTGAACTTGTATTAACAAAGAAAACCTTCTAGCTTGTATGTTAACTCTGGGAACAAGTTCATGCCTTCATCACCTATTACTCCAAGACTGTCACCTGACATTATTTTCATAAGAACCAAAAAATATAAAATCCTGTACTTGCAATGAAGCTGAACATGAAAGAGGAAGAAAGAAATCAGAATTTGTTTTAAGGACATATATTTAATATTTTATAAGTTTAGGTAACATCAAATGATACCAGAGTTGCAACTGTATTCTTGCATTTAAATTATATCATCACATCATTTAAAATTTCATTTGATATGACATTTTAAAACAAAAATAATTGTACTTGTGAATGCAGCAGAAATTTTGAAGTCATTTAAACTTTTGTCAAACCATGTAACTGTGCAGTTCTATATACATTTTAATAATAGTATTATTATTAAGAGTGGAAGACCTCTCAACCAATAAATTCTAATATTTAGGAGGGCACATTTTGAAGAATCTGTGCACTCTGCTTCAGAAGTATGCTCTCCAACAACATCATTTCTACTTTCAATTCATAGAATCAGAGTAGTCAAAGTTCAAAAGGACTTCTGAAAATTGTCTGGCCCAATCCCACTACTCAAACAGGGCAATTCAACAGTCCTTCCTGAAAGCCAAAGAGGAAAAAAAAAAAAGTGAAAAAGCAGTCCTCACAATTTACTTAAAAAAGGAGGAAGAAAATATAATTTTAACATAAGTGTTGCTGGATTCTTTATCCGTCGTTGATCTCCATTGATCTCCAATTTCTTCAAATTTTTCTTACTAATTCACATGCATGTTTGCACTGTCCTGGACACTGCTATAGAGTGCAGTGCTTCCTTGGTGTTTTTATTAATTATGATCAAAATTCAATGTGTCATAAAGACATTCAAAACTTGACCCTCTAGTGCTTTATCTGAAGGTTGTTTTTTGTCCAGAATCCTTGGTTCTACTTACTGATATTCTACAAAGATGAGAACTGTGTCCAAATTTATATAAATAAAGAAAATGTAAGGAAGATCTCAGAAAGATTATTGTTAGGGATTTAAACAGAAATCCCATCCACATTGCTTAGGCATTCTTATGGAAAATTACTTGCTGCTTTACAGAACTTGAATAGTGACAGTCTCTGCAGTTGCTGCAGTGAGATTGGAAACCCTGAGATCCATTCTGCTTCTGCTGCTGCTCTTATTCTTTCTGTAAATATGTGATTTTAGGCTGTCATAATTCAACAAGTAAATGTTTCCAGCCAGAAGCAGCTAAGTAGCTGTAATACGCCCTGCACTTCAATATCCATAGGCAACAGAGTCAAGAGGATTTCCTTTTCCATTCTCTGTTGTTCCTCTCATTCCTCCACTGAGTCTGGCATACTCAAACAAAAAAACAAAAAAGCAGAGCAGCTGATTTACGCCTTATACAATTATGTTACAATGTTCCTGAGTATTTGTGGTAGTGCAAATTGTATGTCTTGTTGGTTCCTATAAGCATAGCAAAACTTTTGTGGCTTCATTGATTAGTAAGACATACTTCCACATTTATACAAAAGGATTTAAACATATTTATGTACCATAACAGGCAAACATAACTTCGCTCAGTCAGGAACCAAGAAAAGTCACCCTGGTTTTTTAAGTTTTACAAAAATGCTCTGGGATTTTTATTAATCTTCAATACTAAATGAAAAACAAACAAACAAACAAACAAAAAAAACCACCAACAAAAAACTACAAAACTCAGTTAACATATCCCCTTCTCCTGTATCATTCCATAAACATGTAGGACATGAGTACCTTTACAGAACACTATTTTTTCTCATCTATTGAGACTTGTATCAGAAATTTGTTAGTGCGAAAGATGAAATTTGAGAGCTTCTGCTGTAAATTCTGGGAATCCTATGATTACAGAAAAATATATATTGTGAAGATTCCCCCACCTTTTTTTTCTTTTCTTTCTTAAAACATCTACTATTTGCTACTCTCAGTTTGCTGGATCAATAATCAGATATGAAAATATATGATCTTTAATGAATTTCAGGTATATCTGCCATTTGTTATGATATCAGGAATTGTGACTGAAAAGAAAAAAAAAGGTATTTTGTTTTGCCTTTTTTCAATGAAGGAAGAAGAGAAATCTGAATGGAAAGCACTGTACTTTTTTAATTGAACAGATAGCCCTTTGATAACATTAACAGATTGAACTGCTGATTGGTAATGAGACTCCTTGTTCTGTTATTGCCATCTACTTAGGAGAGGTAAATGTGTTTATTTATGTTTAGAGACTATGGACAAATTTCTTTCATGTTCATTCCAACCTACTTTAGCTGTGCTTTACTTTTTTTTTTTTACTTTTTTTCAGTTGTCTCATTATACAGAATACCTTTGGAGGAATACAATTTTTTCACAGGTCTTGCAACTAATCCAGCTTGTAAGTAAAGGCATCTGTTGATCCATTATAAAAGCTACTGCTGAAGCTAGCTCCCATGCATGTACATATATCCACTCTCACACACATTTTTCAAGGTATTGTTTCCTCAAAAAATGAACTAACATTCTAATATATGAACTAATAGAATATATTTTCAGTGTGGAAACTGCTGTATTTTGAGAAATGTATTTCTGAGAGGAATGAAATGTTTATTGACACTCTGTTTTTCAAGACATATGTTATACCTTGGGTCTAGAGCTCCATCTCAGAACAAACAAATGAAATTACCTGTGAAAATTTGGAATATTCAAAGTCTTTATGCTGTCAGTTCTGAAGCTCAATCCTGTTGATAAAATACTTGTGAATTCGATTAAAATAAAAAAGATAACATATTTCCAGCTACTTTTTGTCGAGTCTTTCTTTTAGACCACCAGCAAAGACAGTTTTCTCCATGTCTTGAGAACTTAACCCACATACACTTTCAGAATGATGATGCACTACCTTAATAAGGCTGCTTCTTTTCCCAAGAATAATACTCCTACTGCAACAATTATTTTTCTGCCAGGACAAACAAAAATACAAACTCTGGTATTTTCTTGGATAAGAACCTCAACCCATTTCCTCTATCTTTTATAATTTATTTTGCATCCAAAAGCAAAATTCTATTATTAGCTTCACCTGCTCAATAAATTAGCTTTTTCACTGACACACTTTCCAGACAGACAGTAATCACAGATGTTCGAGTCTGAACATGATTGACTTTGGGGGACAGACGGTAGGCAGAAGCGTGGAAAAAAGGAGTTTTAGCCTATTTCTAAGAAGTTAGACAGTTTTACAATTTTTCCACTCACTTTCCTTTTCCCTGGATTCCACCAAGGAAAATTCTGTAGGCAGAAAACCTGCCTGCATTTGAAAGATTTCTCTGCATTATCCTTTTTATCAGCAATGTATTTCAATCCCTTCCACTCAGAAACTGCTGTTCAAAAAGTATTAACTTGTAACAGGATTTTATTCCTCTAGTTCATAGAATTCAAGTGATTACTTTACTTCTGACATAACCTTTGAGTATTTTTATTTCTATAAGCCATATAAAAAATGTCTTCCCTCATACAAAAGAAATAATTTTATTGCCATTTTTCTTTCATGTTCTAGCTTAGTTTTGAAAATCAGTGAAAAACTGAATTGAAAAACAGAAATGAATTATGATTAATAATTGAATGATGTGAATTTAGACCGAGGATACTTCTTAGGTTGTGTGAAATGAATAGAACAGGGATACAAAACAACAAATGTAGACACTGTACAGGAAACATCATCAGGATAAATAAATCAAGCTTGTGTCCTCAATATTATTCAATAGTTTTCCTATTTTTTAATAAAAGCTGATAAATAATTCACAATGGATTGTAGACTATCTTCTGCAGTTTTGTGTTTGTCATACTGACCACTGTGGAAAATTTTGATCCTCAGTATCTCCTTAGATTATTATTGCACATTACAAAAACTCATTTTCAGTTGAGCTAACACATCTGTAAAGATGCAGAGATATGT